GTGATAATTGTGTGTTGATAATTTGGTAGGTAAGAAATTAAGCATACAATTTTTTTTTTGATGTGATCTATGACATTAGAGTAATATTATAATATCTTTGTTATTCTGGACATTTACTTGGCTTGTAATACCCGAATTTATTTATTATCGAAACTATTTTGAAATTTGTTTTTTTAAATCGTCAAAGAAATTTCTACGATTATTCAACATATAAGAGGCCTTACTTAATACCCAAGAAACTCTCAATATGAGCTCCAGTTTGTGGTTCGGCAGCTTAAGACCAAATTATGATCACTCGGAATACTTCTGTCGATTTGAGAACAGTTTGAAAAGATATCGTACGAAAATAAATTAATTAGTAAATGTCGCAGCAAGATTTCGTCATAAATTCGACTGAACTATTATTAATTAACCTACCCCCCCCAACCCCCCCCAATTAATTATGTGCTTACAATCAATATTATTATAATTATTCAGGTAAATGATTAGTTCTCTCTTATTCATATTCTTTATTTGATAATTTTTTTGGAAATAACATGGAGGAATATTTTTCTAACATCTAACTAAAGTAATTACACACATAAATTGAAATTGAAACTCACACGGGAATCAAATCTGATTATGTTGAAAACACGAGCGAAGTAGCTTGAAAACAAACGTGCAAAACCTGCAATGGCAAAGAATCCGAAGCCAAATGTGAATACTAGAACAAATCAGCGGCTTACGAATGACGGAATGGTGCCTAACGAAACACCGAGAAGCATTGTCTCTTCTTTCTTGTCTTTTCTTCTTCCCTTCTGGCAAGAGACCGCACGCGAAGCTCTCCTCTACTTCCCCTGCAAGGCCCGATATGGGAGCCGACCAAGCTCGCGCTCCCGCCGTAAGATGTCACCCCCATCTCAGCAAGAGCTGCCTCAATATGCATCGTCTCTTCATCTCCAGGCGAGCCGAGGAGATGAGCACGAAGTCGCCAGCTCATGCATTCCATGCCGAAGGAATCACGTACTCCATGTTACAGATTTTCTTCGGCCCAGCGATACTCGTCTCGCGTTACTTTTTTCCCGAGCTGTACCCCGTTTGGCAGTTGTGATTATTGAGAGCTTTCCGAAAGCACCTGACAATGCTAGGATTTGTCTGCCAGACACTTAACAGCTTTAAATCTGATTTTCAGTAGGCTGACTAGATCGTGTCAGTTTGAAATTCCCACGAGTTTATTACTTGTATTGGAAAATTACTGACAGTTGTGATAAATTCCTACCGATTCTTACGGCGATTAACTGCCTATTCTTATGCAGATAATTATGCGATCTAAATCTGAGCTTTCAATATGACGTAATCTATCATTTTGCGATATAAGTTAATTTGTTCTGACATTCAGCCTGCCTCAGCGCCGTCTTCGGTCTAAGGCTATCTGCCCCCACCATGGCACGCGGAAGACGCGTCAGGGACCCCGGTTATTTGGATGACCGACAGTGCAAAATGGCCGAACTTGCTACTCAGGCCGACATAGAATCTAATAATCAACTTAATACTATTAGATTTGCATATGACATTTTTTTGGGATCCAATAATATATATATTAGCCTATGATCCTAAGTATAAGAATCGTAGTGAAATATATTAAATCCCAAATAGGATATTAGCTAATATTTACACGAATTAGCCATAGAATGATTAGGATCTATGTAATAAGAAAGTTTAAAGATGGGAAATATTCTCTTGATAGGATGCTTTAGCTATATTAAGCTTTCTAACTATATACTTAGTTACATCATTACCCTTTACAGTCAAATGATGTTGAGTAAATTGCACCTAATCTTTCATTAAAGAAAACTGGTTAAGTCAGATTTTGATTTGGGTCTGAATTTTGTAATTGGGTGATTATCTAATGTACTTGTTTGAATATTTCTATGTTTATATTTGATTTTAATGATTTTCTAAAACATGCGAACCTTACGCAAATGACCCTTATGGCATAGATGCAGAAGTCTTTAATTTTATGATTGAAATAGGCCTAAACGTTTAAAATTATTCCAATGATTCTTGTTAGGCCGATAACCTTGATAAGGATAATATACGTTTCATCATTTGTTGAGACTTATAAAATCGCGCAAAAATTCAGACAGTGATTGCTGATATAGAATCCAAACTTGCAAAAGATAATAATGGAAATATTACGAAAATAAGATGACAGGCACTTAATCTCTTAGCTGAAGGCAATCCAGTTACAAATTTCGGTAATACCACCCATTATTAAGTGGAAGTTTAATATATAGTAGACTTTTTATCTTTTCATAGACAATTTATAATTGTGTACTAGAAATGCTTCGGCTTTTAGTTGGTTAATAATAAGTTTTAATAATCAAAAGTAATATAGATGTGGCTTTAATCATTTACGCAAAGAATAACGATTAATCATGATAAAAGAGTACTATAACATAGTTTAGACACTAAGCGAAACTATTCAATGAAGTATATTGAATATTCACCTGTTAATGATATAAAGTTTTGAATCCGAACGTATATAATTATTAAAGCTTTGCACTATGTTCATTGGTAATTTTAGCGTATAGAAAGCTGTTAATAAATTTATACATGAAAGTAACATATATGATCGTTGATTATATCATGGAATTAATTAGTTGTGTGTATATTATTGGTACAGAGTGTTGACATTGTTGTTTAGAAGTGAGAGATGACGGGCTTCTAAATTGCATATGGATTGCCGCGAACCGGATCGGGCTGTGTGTTATTGATTGATTAAATTTAACTGTGAATGTTATTGATGATATTTAAACGGTAGAATTAATTCCTACCTTTTAGGGGAGTGCTGGTCCACGAGACTTTCGATAGAACTAGACTAGTTTTAATTTCATAAACTATACATCGAATAAAGTTATTCTATACTAGTTCTACTACACTTAGATGCCCTAATAGAATAGACTGTGCATACTAATTTAATCATTATTTAAGTTATTATGTTATTCTTCCATATACATTATTTAAGTGTCTGTAAAATTATTTTTCATTAGTTTTTGTTTATTATTATCATTCTCACTTCTCTACGTTGTTGATATGTTACTGATTAAATTCATGGTATTTATTTACTATATGTGTAAAATCTGCACATTTGTGAGAATAGGGGTGTCCTAGTTGTGCATAGTGCATTAAGATGTTCAAGCGCCTGATAGGTATGTCATTGCGACTCCTATTGATTGAAGTGTGTTAGTTATTTGTGATGTTGATGATGCTTTGGTGCTTCGTTTGATGTCGGGAATAATGGATGAGGTGGACAACTGGTTTTGTGATGGAGGGTGTGAATAACGGATCGCGGTTCATGAAAATGAGATGAAATATTGACCGTTAGCTGGCGGCTCCCGAAAAATTAGGGCAGATCGTACGCCCTTAAGTGCAATGAATGATGTTGATTATAATGGAAATATTACATGGATGGCAATTTCTTGTTGCTTGCGACAGCTGGAGCCACTGAACACTTTCTAGATTTTTGATTGTAGTTCGAGGGTGGAGCCTCACTGTTGTGAGCACTTGAAACGATCCCAATAGATGATGGATGGCAGACCAACGAAGCTTGGCCTGCCTGTTGAATGGAAAGAAAAGAGAGAATCGGAAAACAATTGCCGAGGACTGGTCACGATTGATGGTTTAGAACAAGTGCATGGCCGGCACAGGGGAATTCGGCTCCTGGTCGCACTGTACGGAGAGTGCGAAGCCATAGTCCTGGAGGCAAGGCTCGCTTGGGAGTTTAGGTGGTGCCACTGACGTAATTTCAACATGATGTGATTAATGTGGAATGGTTGATATTGTTTTGTGGCGCTGAGTGATAAATGCATTTTGTGTGACTGGCTTCATGCGTGATATAATGAGTGAGAATGGAGCTAGCATTTGATATTATTTAAACATTTGTGTGAAATGTCGTCAGTGTATAGATGCAATAAGATTGTTACACTTTCTTAGAAGGTCACATATTTTAAGTTAAATATTTTCAAGGGCAAGTTAAGCACTTATTCTTTATAAACTTGTTAAAGTGTGTTCGTAGATTGCCAGGTCAGAAAGCAACATAAAGGTAAAGAAATCTTATCTTTTTTCCAGTATTTATAAATTATTTCTTCCTATGATAAGTTAAATCGATGATAACCAAAGCTATGTCTTCACAAGCGTACGTACTCAGAGTGATCCGCAGTTGTAATGGATAAAGAATTCTGTAGCATTAGTTCGTGGCGATAATTATTAATTATAGGACGAAATAGATTATATGAGCCCAGGATATATTGAAAAAAAAAAAAAACTTGTTGTGATAATTGTAAATTGTAAAATAAGTGGCCCATCGAACTTATTGGCAAATTTGTATATGCCGATAAATTTGGGCCACACGAGATCTTTAGAAATATAGGACAAGGCTTGAGGTTTATCTCTATCCTCTATAGCGATGGTGTAAGATCTGAATGTTTAAATTATACTGAAATAGTAAATTTTAGTGTTTTCAGGCATTTACTACAGGCCTCCATCGGCGGGCCTTAAAGCTTACCTGGAGCCTAGGTGCCATAAGCTCGGTCCGGCCCATGGTAATCACGGGTCGTGACGGCTACAAACATGATTTACCTCTCACTAAATTGGTGAAAATTGTAAATTTTTAGTGTTTCAGGCTTACTACGGGCCTCGGGGGCCTTAAGCTTACCTGGGCCCTAGTGCCGGTCCGGCCCATGGTATCGGGTCGTGACAGGCTACAAACATGGATTACCCTCACTAAATTGGTGAAAATTCTAATAGTTGAAAAGACTCAATCTCGAGACCTTTCACTTCTCGAACTGGTAAGAAGACCAATTAGACTACTGCCTCTATATATATTTTTATCTGGGTTAATTCTTGAAGTTAATTAGATATGATAACTTCTGAATATATAAACTAATTTCCTTTATTATTAGCTTACGCTGAATATTGTAATCATATTTCCATTATAGTACAAAACTAATTCCTTTTCCTCAATTATAACACTAAAATCATAATAACATATGATATAATGTCATAAATTAATTAATTGCAGAGCATATTTTTCTAATTTCACCATCAGAGCCTGTCTTCACTTCAATGTTACTCATTTTAACCATAGACTTTGCAAACTCAACATTAAAGTTTAATGCAGGCAAGCCTCTAACACCCAAGAAACTTTGAACAAATGTTCTTGTAGAAGTATCAGTCCACAATTTTTGATCAGATTCAAGAATTCCTCTGCCATTTGCAAGGTTGGAGAAGAAAGAAGTGTCAAACTTGTTTTGGCTAGTTGTATCTAATGCAACTCTCGTTGTCCCATCACCATTTTGTGGACAGAGTGCTTGTAGTTGGGGAAGGAATGAGGCGTTGATGGTTGGATCAGAAGAACCATTTCCACTTGTATTGTACAATCTGTAACTGAAGAACTGGCAAGCTGTAGTGCCTATGGTGTGACCTCCTGTATCAATAAAAAAGAAAAGTATGCATGGAAGTTAATAATATATGAACTGGAAGTTCTTTTAGCTATAGAATGTGTTTATATAGGTAAATATACAGAACTAAATAGATATAAACTAAGTCTGCAAATTGAGTATTTATTGAGTAATTCGATTTCACGAAAGGATGAATTAAAATTTGACATTTCAGAATAGAAATTCTTACCAACAAGTGTGACAAGATCTTGTGCATTGAGACCCTTCGCAGCAAACTTTTGCTTCTGTGAATCAATGGATTCAGTAAAAGCAGGCAAACCTCTCGTATCAGTTTCTAATGACACTCTACCATCTCTACGTCCAGTAGGCACTTGCCAATTTCTTCCACCACTCTGCATGTAAGTCAAAAAAACAAGATGTTCATATATAATAAGCGTATATATATATATATATATATATATATATGAACACATTCATACATCGGGAGGAGTGGGCAAGTATTGTAATTACCAGAACAACAGCGTCACGAGCTGCGAGTCCAAGAATATCAGCACAAGAAACAATTCCAGGACATGCAGATTCAAGTTGAGTCTTGGCATCATCAATAACTTCATATCCTCTCAATCCAAGATTAGGTATGCCTGTTTTTTCAGTGTTAGGGCCATTAATAAGAATAGAAGCATCACAACCTTGAACAAAGCAATCATGGAAGTGCATCCTTAATAAACCAGGCGCAACAGCAGCATTAGCTTTAACATGCTTTGCTACAGTTGCACTTACTATGGATTCTGCTTGCGGACATGTCCGTGAATAGAATCCAACTCTCGTGCCTTGGCCTTGCACAGAACTTGCAAAGAAAAGGCAAATGATTAGAATAAGAGTAGTATTAGTATATCTCTCCATTATTAAGAATTTGAAGATAGTAAGTGAAGATGTTTGATGTTTTGTGCAAGTGAAGAGTATCTATAGATATATATATATATATATAGAAATCTAAAGTCAAAAGAAAAGGGAGGAAGTAAGCAAAGGCAGCTTGGGTCTTCCGCTATAAGGTAAAAAACATACTAAGAGTCCATACATATTGATATAGGCATGCATATAATGGAGGAATGAGTTGGAATGCAATACTGTTTAACTTTTTGTATTTTTATTGCATGATACTGTATCACGTGAACAATATAAGTGTTTGTCAGTATCTTATATATAGGATTCTTCTATCGGCTATAAGGTAAAACTAACTAAGAGTCCATTACTATTTGATATAATTGGCATCCCATATATATGAGGATGATTTGGAATGCAATTATGTGTTATACTTTATTTGTATTTTGATTTGAATGATATACCTGTAGTCAGTGAATGACTATAAGTGTTTGCTTCAAGATAATCTTATATAATTATATAACTATAATATATATATATAATTAGATTATATATGCAGGTATTATTTATTATATATGGTCCATATTACTGAATTATTCTTCTTTAGTAGATTCAATTCCCATTGCTTTTTGTTTTGTTCATCTCGTGAGAATTAAGAATTAAAATTATGGTTAGCATTTGTTGAATTTGGTTTAGTTTGAATAAATTAAAATTTGTAATATAATCAAACAGATTATTTATACAGAATTGAATTGAATCGATTTTATTGGATTATTTTCATTTAATTTTTAGCTTTTGTTTATTAGGTTTGAATTATTTTTATTTTTTTTATTAAAATCAAAATTGAAATTGATTTTATTTGATCAATTTATTAAATTATCCTCAACCCAAATTAAAATTATACAAATTAGTCGTGAATTATTTTGCAAATATTTATTAAGTAGTATTAATTAATAAATTGAATTTGAACTTAATAATTTAATTAAATAGTTGACTTAAGATAACTCACAAGTCTAATTACATATCAAAATTAATTTTATATAATATTATCATTGAAACTATAATTTATAAATCTATTCATATTTTTTTTAACATTAATTCACAACTAAATTAATAATTTTTATCTGAAATTTTAATATTAAGCAAATCCAATTGAGTTGATTTGGTTATATATTTGATAAAATAAAATTATCCATTTAAGAAAAATAAAACTTGATTAATCTTAAATTAAGTTTTAACTCGTGAATTTTGCAATGGAAAGCGTGCACATTTGTGCACCCTCAATATCTATGATGATGAAATATGATTTTTTTTTTTTTTTTTTTTTTTTTTAATTTTTGCAATATGAAAGCGTGCACATTTGTGCCTACTACGAATATCTTTATGATGATGTAAATGATGATTTTTTTGTTTATTATTTTTTTATTTTCGAGAAAGCTTATTGACCGTACGACATACGAGTGCTAGCTACGGATTTCTAGGTCTAATTTTCATGCTTCTGAGAGGCATAGTGCTCACGATAACAGAGAGAAACAGGAGAGTACTAGAAGTTGACTTCTTGTGGATATGAGTCAACTATCATCGGTTAGGTAAAAAATCTTCTTACTGTAAAATTAATCTGTTTCTTAATCGAAATTTTTTTTTTTTTTTTTTTTTTTTGAGAAAAGCTAATTGACACTACACCAATAGTGCTAGCACGCGCTTCTAGGTAATTTTCTGAGACGCATATATATACAAGAGAACAGTGAGGTCCTAGGGTTGACCTTATTGACTAGGAGTCAACTATCCATTAGGAAAAATCTCACTGTAAAATTAATTTTGTTTCGAAATTTATAATTGAACTAATTTTATAAAAATAATCTGAATTTAAAGAAGTAATTTTATTTATCGAGTATGATAATATAATATCAGTTTAATTGGAATTGCAACATAAATCATATATAAAGAAGTAACAAAACATATGTGATTCATGTAAGAAGAGATAAATTAATAATATTCATGTTTTCACAGTTAATTTTCTGAAAATTATGAGATTATATGTAAAAACAAATACAATCAATATATCTGTATATGTAATCCTAGAACGAACAATCAATTTCTTTCAAGAACATTTTTTAATCTTGATCTTCCCTTTCCATGAATTGCTTGGCCTTCTTATATGCTTTCTTCAAGCATGCACTAAACCTTTCTAAATCAATTTTAACATTTTGTTCCTTCAAATATATGTCCATAATTTCAGCAGGCCATCCACCGTTCCCCTTAACCTGAACACCATGCGGATCCTTCAACAATAAACTATCATTCCCGTATTTTTCTACTAAAGTACTCTCTTCCACTCCAATTTTATATTCTATGTACTCCAAATTTAATCCCCTTCCTAGTCTCCCGAAAAAGGCATCGGAAGCCCACTCAACTCCAATTGGAACCACTTGCATAAACACCGCACCCGGCCGAAGAAATATCGAGTGCGTAAGCGCTGCACCATGAACGCCAATCATTGCGTGGCTTGAATTAATTAGTGCATAAGATTCACGTAATGAAGTATTAGTCTGAGGTTCAAAAATTATTACTTCAAAACCAATATCTTCTATTGTTTTAATTACTTCATCTCGATTCACAATCACACGCCCGAGGCTACCATTACGGCTAGCAAGTAAGAGTCGAGGGCGAAATTTTGAACTCGGAAAGACAAAATCAGAACTCAAATTTTGACTGTATGCCTTTTCTAATAGAGCCCTAAAATGTGTGAATGTGTTTGAGTTAGGCATCAAGGTTTGGTTTATAGTCATGAATCCATGTGATATTAGACCAAAAGTGGCAGAAGGAAAACAATGAGTGCTTGTATCATTTAGGGTTACGATAGGCTGTGTTGTGAACGCATTTAACAAATCTATGTACTTGCTAATCCACCAATCAGGAACTTCAGAGATGACAAGAACAAAATCTTGATTGGGGAAGATGGAATTCACGGTGATGAAGAGGGGAACGAAACCATCATTAAAATCATGGAAGAAGTTTCCGGTGTACCCGCCCACACTGAATACAAGGGCTGGGGCATGGTGTCGGACTTGGCATAGTGGGCATTTTGGGCCTGAGGTAATAGTGAGTTCTTTGATTTGGGCCATAATGAAAGGTTCAAACTTTCTAGGGTAAGGCTTAATTTTCTCCACCAAAAAAGGGCGGGCAGAAGTGGTAGGGCCAACAACGTAAAAAGTAGATGTTGTGGGGTCCCTTACCGTTGAGCCGTTGACAGAGCAGAGATCATAGCGCATGTGAGTTCGGTCACAGCTGATTTGACCGCCAGGCAGAAACTGTGAATCTTCTCCTAGAATTAGGTCCCAATCGGTCAACATCTTCAGACGCCCACGTGGAATATCTGTAAATTAAAAAAATAAATATGTAAAAATACGAATAAGGACAAAAGAATTGGTAGGTGGACTAAAATATGAAATCACAAGTAGCATATGGGTATTTAACTTTTTCTTTAAAGCTCTTATTTAGATGACACGTGGACGCGGGCAACGATAATTGCGGGTGCAAATTTGTTACATTAATTTTTTGTTATGAATAAAAACAAAATTTTTAGGGATGTGTTATTGGTCAGTCTACTTTTAAATTTGAATGGATTGATAAAATCAAAAGCTGCATTTTTTTTTTTCTAAACCTAACTGTGTGACTGTGTTGAAATGAATGGAACAAAATTTTATTCAATTTTTAAATTAATTTAACTTATTTTTTATAATTAAATTAAAATTATCTAAAGTTATAAATAGAACAAAATTAATCAATTCAAAAAATTGAATTAAATCAATTATGATTTTTCAATCTTAACCTAATGTTGGTTCATCTTAAAATTTTCACTGTAATTATATGAAAAATGAAGGTTCTATTATCAGTAATATTTATTTTTCTAATTCGAATCTTCTTCTTGGGTAAGAATAATAGAATCAGATTCCAATAATGAAGAATCGTTGGAAATAGAAAAGAAAAAGAAGATGGGAAAAGCATACCTGGAGTAGTTTGGAGATTGGAATCAAGAATGGAAGACATGGTGATATGGAGTAAGAGCAGAAGTGAGCAGCAAACCAGGCACCAAACAGAAAACCCTAATCTTGAAAGGTGTCTTCTTTTATGTAGTTCCATTGTTCATTAGCAATCTTAATTGAACAAACTATGTCTGAACAGAGAGAATAAGAGAGATGAAAAGAGAGAGATAGAGACAGAGATTTGCATGGTGCAGCAATGAATTTGTAAGTTGTATGAAATCTTGACTATTTAAGGTCCGATACCCACTGCTAAGCATATGTCAGCATGTGCACTTTACTTAATACTCAAAATTGTGCATTAATTAAATATTTAGCAGACCAAATCTATCTCTTTATGGAAATATATAAACACACACTAAAAATGTTCACTCACGTATTTAAACGTGTTTATGAGTTAGTCAAATTATTGTATTCTCTTTTCTCTCTTTTATATATTCTCTTCTTATATAGTAATATAACCTTATTATACAATATAATATTAATGATAAATATATATTAATGAATTGATTTTGTATATAAAAAATATTTATATAGAAAAAGAAACTCAGAAAAAAACAGTTTTTAAAAAATTAAAAATCAAAAAATAAAAAAAAAATAAAAAATAAAAAATGGTAACAAACAAGCCCTAAATTACTATTTAAAATTAAAACATTAGGAATATTTCGTTGTTTATAATTAATTATAGCAAGTTCATGGAATATACCTGCCTTAATTAGTTACAACCTTTCAACCTAATTACCGAACCTTTTTAAATGTATATAACAAAGGAATAAGAGTTGGAAAGGTTAATTTTCCTATGTTTTGAGTACATATTTAAAAAATGCAGTTGCTCGTATTATCTAAATCAATGATTATATATAAAAGTGAGAATAGGAAACATTGAGATCGTCAAAAATATTCCTGCTAAAGTTAAAAATTAACAAAAAATATTTTGAAAAATTTTAATTTATTGTTTGAAAAAATAAAGTTAATGTGATTTTGAATCGTTATATTAATTTTCTATTTAAAACTAATTTTTATATTAGATAAAATAAAAAATTATGTTACATACTAAACAAGTATATAATAAATATGGTAACAATAAAAATTTTATTTTAGTGATTGAAAAAATAAAGAAAATATATATTAAATATGGTAAGAACATAATATTTTTAAAGGTTTTAATTTTTATTTGGTTATATTTATTTTCTATTTAGATTTAAATGCTTTTTCCTTCAAAAGAAAAGAAAAGATTGAAATTATATAGAAAAAAAATAAGAAATTATGTTATATACTAAATATTTACAGGAAATTAAAATAACGATCGAGCATAATTCTTGATAAATAACAAAAAAAATATATATATATATATTAAGTATCTATAACGAGAAAAAACACGTGCAACGCACATCATTAAATACTATTGTACATATATATGATCAATTTGAAACATATATTTTGTTTTTTTAAAAAAAAATATTATACTTGCTCTAGAATAAATGAGCCTCAATTGGATTAATGCTTAGTTTATTACACATATTTATACAAAACAAAGCTATTACTTTAATAATTATATCCCTCATCAACCCTCTTTGTCCATGAACTTCTTAGCCTTCTCATATGCTCTACTCAAATATTCCCTAAATCTAATCAAATCAAGTCTAACATTTTGTTCTTTTAAATATATACTCATAACATCACCCGACCAATTTTTCCCTTGGGAGGCAATTGGGTCTTTTATCAATAAATTATTTTTATCATATTTATCTATCAAACTACTTTCTTCTACTCCAATTCTATATTCTATATACTCCAATCCCATAGCCCTCCCCAAATTTCCAAAACAATATTCTGCTACCCACTCGTTGCCTAGAGGCACCACTTGCAAAAACACAGATCCCGGCCGGAGAAACAACGAGTGCGTAAGAGCGGCACCGTGTACTCCAATCATTGCATGACTTGACTTAATTAGTGCATAAGCTTTCCGCAATGGAGTACTAGAATTAGGTTCAAATATAATAACATCAAAACCAATATTTTCAGCTAGATTTTTTACTTCATTCTGATTTAAAAGCACTCTTCCAATATTACCACTACGACTCGCCAATATCAATCGAGGCTTTCGCCGTGGAAGATTGAACGTTGACCCGCGGTGGTGGTTTTTTTCACTGTGGTCGGTACTATAGGCTTTATCCAATAGGGCATGGAAATGGGTGAACGTTTTTGAATTGGGGAGTAACTTGGGGTTAATAGTCACAAATCCATGTGATATGAGGCCTATAGTGGCAGAAGTAAAACAATGAGTGGAAGTATCATTATCTAGGTTTATAATAGGGTGCTTACTAAAAGCTTGTAACAAATCTGCATACTTACTGACCCACCAATCACGAGACTTTGATATCACAAGGATAAAATCTTGATCATCGGAGAAGACAGAATTGACGGTGATGAAGAGTGGGATAAGCCCATCATTGAAATCGTGAAAGACGTTACCAGTGTACCCTCCCGCACTGAATACCAAGGCTGGCATGTTGTGTTGGACTTCGCAGGATGGGCTTTGTGGGCCTGATGTGAGAGTTACCTCTCTTATTCTTCTCATAATAAAACTCTCCCATTTTCTTGGGTAAGGCCTAATTTTCTCCACTATGTTGGGTGTTGATGAGGTGGGGCCCGCAAGATATAGCGTGGCGATGGTGGGGTCCAAGACAGTTGGACCGTTGATTTTGCAGAGATCATAGGATCTGTGGGACCGGTCGCAGTTGATTTGCGTGGCTTGAGAGGATGGTGGTGGTGTTGGCGGTGGATGCGGCGGCGGCAATGAATTCTGCTTGAACACGTTCTTTTGTTTCAAACGTTTTGTTCCTGAAAAACGCTTATTGTAGACTAGTCAAATGTAAAGCCGTAAAAGAGTGAAAAACATCAAATTTAAAGACTATATATATCAAAAGAAATTTATTGGAAAAATTGGTACAACGTAGTTTTACTTTTTAAAAAATGTATAAAAGAATTATTTTGATTAATAATTATTAAAAATACATTTGACATATTTGGCTATATATTATTAATTTACTTTTTTTGTTTTTCACTTTAAGTTTTAATAGTGTGCGAACTCTTTGCGGATTTCATTTATAAATTTCAATTTTTTGTATTTGCTATGAAAAAAAATGAATAATTCAATTCTATGGATTTGAATATAATTAAACCAAATTCTATTAAAAAAGGTGAATTTTCTAAATAAATTTCACTAATTTAAACTATCCAAAACTTTATTACAATTTTTTTTATTTGCTATGAAAAAAAAAATGAAGAATTCAATTCTATAGATTTGAATATAATTAAACCAAATTCTATTAAAAAATGTGAAGGTCCTAAATAAATTTCATAAATTTAAACAATCCAAAACTTTATTACAAAACACTTCATCCTTTTAATCTTCTAAAATTATTATGCCAAGAGTATTTTAGAAATAAAAGCAAATGAATTTTAAAATTTTGAATTTATTCTAAACATGAAAAATTTATTTACAAATGAAATTACATACTCTGAATTCGTTTACACCAAATGGAGCATAAGATGTTAAATGGAGAATAAACATAGGCAAAAGGTTAGAGAAAAAGCAGCATTTCTAAAGCAGATACTGTCTAGGCAGGCGGCATATGTTTTTTACCTCAACCAATCCCATGCATTAATGCTCAACTTGACTATCTATAGTGGTGAGAAATTAGTGATTTTAATTTCCAAACATTGCAAAGAAAATTGAAGACAACTCATTGCATAATCATGTTTGGCAGTAAGGATATAATATACCTGGATTATCTGAGGAAGGAGTCACATTTCTTGTTCTTGAAAGAAAAGATAGATTGATCTGTAACACGGAGAACACCACGAAAAAGAGGAAGCAAAGGATTGCCGTTTTAAAATTATTCTTCTTCATGATTTAAAAACTTGAAATGGAAGAGAGAGAGAGAGAGAGAGAGAGAGATGAGTTTCGTTGGAGGAGAAGGTCAATTGTGTAGGTAGGTTAATAACAGGCTGCATGGAGAAGAATATGAGATGTGAAGGAATATGGTCTGCAACTTATGGTATCGAAATATGAAAGCATATATAATTATGGCTTCTGAAATTAATTAGCAGGATATCACCTAAATCAGAGTTCTATTTTTTCAATTAAAGTGTATGACTTGAGAAAAAAAAAAAAAAAAAAAAAAAAAAAAAAAAAAACGTTTTATAACTCTTTTTTATGCATATTGGTACGCTTGACAATTAATAGTTCCAAAATTGCTACTTTTAATTCCAAAACTACTGATTTCCATTTTAAAAATGAGTCAAATTAGTAGTATATTGTTCTTTTGACTGTTTTTAAAAGTGATTTCAAATTTTTAATTCAGTTTAATATTGAAATTAAATAATTTTTTATCCTATATATTAGTTTTATAGTGCAGGTAAATAGTAAAAATAATAGAAAAGAAGTGGTGGTATGTATTCAAAAAAGGAAAGGGCTTAGTAAAAAGTTTTAAAATTTACCTAAAAGATTACACTAAAGAGATTATATATATTTTTTGTTTTAACTAGACATGTGTCTTTTTTAAATTTAATGGAAGTTTTTATAGGTCAAATTAACACTGCGAGTACACAATAGAGAACAATCCTTCCCTTGATTCACTAAATTAATGAAAACAACTATGGTTGAGAGGACTTGCCAGACATACATCTTTAGTCACTGTGTTGAAGTTAAATGTTACTCGTGTCGTCAAATCAATCTATTTAGAGGTAAGGCTCTCTCAGCATGTATTCTGTATCTAAAATGATCGAACTTTTAATTTTACGTAAAAGAGTATCAAACTACTCATGTCAACACCTGTTTATAAAAAATTTTATTTTTAATTTGCCTTCCTTAACATTTTTTTATAACTTTTCTTTGCTTCCTTTTAATTTTAAAGCCTGAGTTTGTCTATGATTAAACTTATAATTATCAATATAACTAACTCTTAAGTTACACAATTTTATCCCTATATAGAATAGAATAAGTTACAATCACACTTGTGAATTGTAATACACATGGTAAAGATAAAACTTATTTTCCAATATAAATATTACATATATTTATTAATTTTTATGGATATACAGAATATATTACAATTAGAAAGTCAGCAATCAAACGGTGGCCATAAATACATTAAAAATTATTAAAGAAAAACAAAATGACAAATAAATAATAAGTCAAAATATACAGAATTGTAACATGAAAACAGCCTCTCACGATCTCAATTTTCAATTATTATAATTATAATAATAATAAAGAAAGATTCTGTTCTGAGAACGTGCCAAAAAACAGATTGGCTTCAAGAGTATAAATTAGAAAAGCATATTAAATACGTATCATAAGCATGTACATATACATGCCAATATTTAAAAAAAAAAAAAAAAAAAAAAATTATTATAATTATAATAATAATAAAGAAAGATTCTGTTCTGAGAACGTGCCAAAAAACAGATTGGCTTCAAGAGTATAAATTAGAAAAGCATATTAAATACGTATCATAAGCATGTACATATACATGCCAATATTTAAAAAAAAAAAAAAAAAAAAAACGAGATTTTGGCTTCAGAGTATAGAATACCTGAAAAGCATATATATAATACTATCATAGGATGTATATGGTTACATGAATAACATGCCAATATTTAAAAAAAAAAGAAAAAATATAAAGAAAAACGAGTGTAGCCTCAAGGTTGTTTCCATCGATCATGTCTACTGCCTTTTTGATCATATTGTGCACAGAATATGGTCTTAATATAAGTGGACATTAGATATGAACATATAATATGGTTTCTCACTAAACTAGCTAGCCCATCTGATCCACAGTTGTGCGTGGGAAAAAAAAAAAAAAAAAAAAAAAGATGTGTCAGTGTCATCCTTCTGTCTCTGTTGCTATCTCCACAGATAATGGCTTAATAAATGGACATTAGAATGAACAATATGTTTCTCCTCTAACTATTGCATGACCACGTGGCGTGGACCCTTTTGCTTGGTTTATCAATGGAGCCAAAAAGATAGGATATGATATTGTTTCAGAATAATGTTAATTTTAATTTTCCGGTTCATCACGATATATGATTTATTTAAATTAAATTATTGGATCGATTTTTTAATAAGAATTTTTAATTAGAATAACAATTGAATTCATTTTCTAATTAAAATAAATACAATGATGAGGTTACTCGTACTATTTGGCAACGGTCATTTACTTAAGAGTGAATCTTACCCTTTACAAGTGCCTTTCTTTAGTTGTCGTTGGCGTTTTAAAATGTATTTGGGTCACTGGATCAAACTAAACGACTTCAATGAAAATCAATAGGCCCCCACATGAGCCCACAGTTTTCTGGTTGGAAAAGGTGGGCCGCATTTGATCTGTTTAATTCTATGGGGACGTCTTCACTTGATTGCTGCCAAATGAATTATGAAGCTGGTAGATTGAGTGGGTCCCGTTGTTGTCATCGTTTTTATTGACTTTGACAGTAAGAAATGGTCCCATTTTATATGTTAGCTTACGTGTAACTTTCTAAGCTGGTACAAGGTTTTGCCGTACTTGTCTGATTCCCCCAACTGACGTCAAATCAGTATCTCGTGCAACTCCATTGTTATTAGCGCCAGCCCTCAGCGTGCAATTACATGTAGACCAGTAAGCCCATTTAGCCATATGGGCTTTACTAGGCCTGTCAAGCGAATAGGACTTGGTCCAATCTTTCATCTTCTGTTTTATGATGCATTATTTTTGCATGATGCTTGCAAGACAATGTAGGAATAAGAAAAATAGAAAAATTTGAAAAGAAATTCAAGGTTTATCATTCCTATTTTTTATGCTAATAATATTTCTGAAAAAAAAAAACTTCAATGAAATTAAAAATGCAGTTGAATCAGTAAAGTAATATACGAATATAAATTATGCAAACGTAAAATACTCTATTTCATTTAGAAATCATTCCAAAATAATATTATCATTTAAAAATTCAATTCGTAAAATTTAAATATTTTAGAAGATATTTGAAGCCAAAAGATTCAGGTGATTACAAATAGAACAATTTTTGGCCTCTTTGTTGTTATTATGGGGAAACTTTATTTGCTTCCTTTGTAATAAAATAAATCCTCTAGCCAAATTGTGATTTGAAGAGAAAAAAAAAAAAAGTGTCGTTTACATTCCCAAACTATTTGGGTCAATTGGTGTCGTTTTTGAACTGAAGAAGAATAGTTCAAAGTTGATTGAAACCTTGATTGGTTTTGAAACTTCTATTGTCTTGTTTTGATTTCATTAATAAAGAATGAAGGCCACTACCCATTAATGGATGGCTAAGGATAGAAGTTCTGTGAAGAAAGCAAACGTACGAGATTGGATAATACAATCTTTTGCATTTTCTCCCCATTCCCTCCTCCATCCTCATTAGCCTTGCCTTTTCTTTTCTTTTTTCTTTTTTCAGATTATGAATTAGATTTTGCAATTTGGTTATATGTATTTTTGAAAAATAACTGATTTTAAAAAGTATTTTTAATTTTCCAATACTTTTTTGATTAAATATTTTTAAATAATTAATGTTCTATTATTTATTTATTTATTTATAATATTAAAAATTTAATGTTATAAATGTTAAAACGATTGTGAAAATAATTTTAGAAGCTGAATTGTTTAATAAATATAATTTTATAAATTGAAATGTTTAATTTATCAAAATATAATTAAAAATGCATAAAATTTTGTACGCTAAATTACAAGGATGAAGTTATTCATGTGGCAAAATAATAAAATTTGAAAATATTTCTCGAGCACACAGGCATTAACATATTCTTCCAGGACAAAGTGGATTTCGAAAAAACAAGTTAAATAATACTCTCTTTATTCTCTTTATATAGAGAAACTTTTTAATTTAGATATTTCATTTATATAAAGAACTTTACTCAAAATAAAAACACTTTGGAAAGAATGTCAAATAAAAAAGTTTAAAATGCCCTCATATGAGCTCTGTAATTCGTGTGCAGATTGTGCTCTAAATGAGGAAAGTGACAAACGAAAAAGAAAAAACATTTAATGCATTTAAGTTTTCAAAGTTTGACTGGATAACTATTTTTCAATGTGTATTTTTAACAATGTGCTCGACGTTTGAATGTTAGCACAAACATGAGCGATAATTTATATAATTATTCAAAATATGCACACACAATTGGATGGTTGCATTATAGTTTTGAAAGATCCTTTTATATAGATATTACACATTGTAAATATGTGTACGAATGAATGTTATGCACAAACATTGAGCGATTAATTTTTATATATATTATTTCAAAAATATCAACACAATTGGGATGGTTGGCATTTTCTCTTTATATAGAGAAACTTTTTAATTTAGATATTTCATTTATATAAAGAACTTTACTCAAAATAAAAACACTTTGGAAAGAATGTCAAATAAAAAAGTTTAAAATGCCCTCATATGAGCTCTGTAATTCGTGTGCAGATTGTGCTCTAAATGAGGAAAGTGACAAACGAAAAAGAAAAAACATTTAATGCATTTAAGTTTTCAAAGTTTGACTGGATAACTATTTTTCAATGTGTATTTTTAACAATGTGCTCGACGTTTGAATGTTAGCACAAACATGAGCGATAATTTATATAATTATTCAAAATATGCACACACAATTGGATGGTTGCATTATAGTTTTGAAAGATCCTTTTATATAGATATTACACATTGTAAATATGTGTACGAATTTTATTAACTCTAAATTACTTAAATATAATTTTATAATTTAACTGAAAACGGATGAAAGTTGTGCTCATATTCTGAATAAGTTGTAAAAAATGAAAAAAAAAACATCAACGATAATTGTAAATTAGTTATACCGTATTTGGATTTCCCTTTAATGAAAATAGATTAGTTATACCATATTTCTGTTGTCCTTAATTTGAAAAGCTTATGAATGCAATTAAATGTTTATATTCATGTTTTGTTCCAAATTTATATAAATGCATATTGTAGAAGTTGAGGAAACAGTGAGAGTATA